GGAGTGTTAATAAATAGACCAACTGGCAAGTTTGATTTTATTATGACCCAGGAAAAAAACAAAACTTTAACCCCCCCCCCCCTTCTCCAAGCCCGCAAAACAGGCGGAAAAACCGCCGGTTTTTTCCTTACAATCAGAAAAAAAACCCAACTTTCCCCCCCCCCCCCCGCCCCCGCTCGCCGAGACAAAAACCTTCTTGGAGGAAACCTGGGACCAAGGGAAAAAAAATCAAGATGGCGCCGCTGAAAGTTACCCGCGTGTTCAGAGCATCATGAACTTTATAGTGATTTCAACGTTTGTATTGAACTTCATCGACATGGCTTAAACGGCTAAGCATTTGGGATTTTATATCCGTCGTCGTTTGGCTCATTTACATGTACAGAAATGTGCGTCTTCAGCAGCGGGAAGCAAGCTCAGAAATCATTAAGCTTACAAGCTTGTTGTCTGTTGGCCCTGACGTTGTAAAGCTAAATATATCAAAGGTAGGCTTTCCTGAGTGTGTAGAAATTTGGTAGAGACTACCATTCCTGTAATTAATGTAAGATTGTTTATGCACACATTTCATGACTAATGTATTAGTCCATTCCAAAACTGGACAGTACAAAATGCAAACTGCAGACTGACCGAAGACCATTGTTTTCAGGGTTAGAAAACAGTCAATAGGACTATTGTTGTCTTGTTCTGATTGCATGGTGAAAACAATGGTCTGCAGCTGTCTGTAGTCTGTATTTTGTACTCAATATTTGTGTCAATATTTTGACTGCTATGTCATGCAACCGAGTGTTGGTTGATATGTCAGTCGCTATTTCGACCAAGGGTTGCATAAATTATGCAAGATCCTTATTTCCAGAGAGGTCTGTTCATTTAACTGGTTGACTAACTGCCAAACTGACTAATTGGTTGACTGATTGACTGACTGCCTAACTGTCTGACTAACTGACTGACTGACTGATTGACTGACTTAATTAATAACTGACCCACTGACTGAGTGACTGTTTGACCAACAGGCTGACTTGTTGACTGACCAACTGACTGATTAATTAACTGACTCATTGACAGACTTTATGGTTGACTTGTTGACTGACTGAATGATTTGCTGACTTACTGGCTGACTGATTGACTGACTCACTGGTTAAAGCAATGTGTGACTCATTGACATAGGTTTTACATAGCGTTGTGACATAGCATGTGCATAGATTCCACATAGTGTCCGATTCTACAGGGGTTACTAATAGACCTTTTTACTGATACGGCGACCATATTGAATTAATTCGATTTAAGGAGTATTACAGGATGCCCAGGGGGCATGAGCACATTTCTTTTGTATTTTCGAGCGCTTTTTTCATAAAGTTTTCTTAAAATGGGGATTGTAATGGGAAAAAAGATTCTTGTGCCCTGTTTGGATGTAATAATGATCGCCTTGTTCCCGAGAAATATACAGTGAAAGACCATATTTCTAATACTAAACTAGAAAAAGGTGATCATTGTTACATCCAAACACAGCACAAGGATCTCTTTTCCCATTACAATCTTATTCTAAGAAAACTTTAAGAAAAAATGTCCTGAAAAGCGCTCGAAAATACAAACGAAATGTACTCATGCCCCCTGGGCATCCTATAATACTCCTTAAATTAAATTAATTCAATATGGCGCCCATATCGGTAAAAAGGTCTATTGACTCACTTACAGGTTACTGACCAACCAACTGACTGACTTATTTATGGACAGGCTGCTTGCTGACTGACTGACTCAATGACTAACTAATTGACTGGCTGACTTGCTTAGTGACTGTCTCATTGACTGACCAAATGGACTGCTAGAGGATCAATATACGAGGGTAATCGTTTAATATGCCGATTCAGGAAAACACCGGAAGTTGCATGGAAGCATCGCCTAAGGGCCCTCATACTCAAAATGGGGACGTAACAACATGATTCTTGTAAGCAAAAGAAGACAAGTGCTGCAGCCATGCAACATAATTGATGTGAAAATCGGCCCGATCTAACCTATATACCAAAAAAATTTACATCAGATCCTGAATCAAGTAGAAGATGGGAAAGAGGACTATTGTTCTTCAGAGCATTTCGTACCAAACGATTGCTGAATTAGTCTCACCGGACATTTTAATAGAAAGGTCAACTTAAAAACTTAACTCTGCTCCACAGAATGTCACTGATAACACATAACGCAAAAGAATATGGAAGTATGACTGTACAATAAATGTCACAAATCTACCAAAGCAGTCCTTACAGGATTTTCTGTCTTTATGTCATCCTAACCATTTTGTACTTGCGGGCAGAAACAATAGAAACGTCATCATTACCTACCGATTCCTCGCGGCCCCTGTTCAAGCAAATTAAGATTTTTCCTGGCATACTGCCTGTATATTTCAACTGTAAGTACTTTCCTTAATATATGTGTGAGTTACTGGAGTACCTTCTCGCGATTTCGCCTTCTGGGCGAAATCCCTGCGGGGGCAATCACACACAATTAATAGTTAGTGTACAAACATTAAATTTGTTACAAGTTGTGACATGATGGATTATAATAAGGGATTTGGCACATGTAGGATCAGAGTGAATAAAAGACCTGTGCTAACAATGACCCAAACCGACAAAATATACCATGCCAGGTTTAGGAATGAATTTTCTTTTTTTTTTTCTTAGTACGCCTGAACAACGTACTATATTTTCTGTAAAAAAAAAGACAGGCCATAATCTATATTTAGTGAAGAGCTGGATTCCGAGCTCATTTGTTTGAGAAATGCAGAACTCTTGGCCATACAGTGGCCATAGACCATGTCCGTAAATGGCGTATCGAGGTATTTATAAGGCCTATTAAAAAGGCAGCAAACGTAGAAGTACTAAGCGTACTAACATGATTAGGGTAAATTTAACTACCAACATACATAGAAACATGGCCGTACTAATACCGAATAAAATACCAGCATACATAGAAACATGGCCGTACTAAGCATACTAACGTACTAAGACTAAATAAAATACCAGGCAAGCATAATTTTGAGCAACCTAGGTTTCATGGGTGAGGCCAAAAAGCATAACACTCATTTTATATAAAAACATAATCTGTCAGAGCATTATGTGACCAACCATGGAACTGTATTCCAAAAAAATGACAAGATATTTAAAAAATTCCTTGACAAAAATTCAAACAAAAGAATCCATACTGATCGCCCATTCGCTGAGTATTGGTTTCAATTGTTAGCAACTTTTTAAAAAAACTCAGTGGAAGCAAAGACGAAATTTTATCAAATAAATACTGAATGTATTTA